GAGATAGGTCCATAGTTACTATTGAAGTTGAATAGGAAGTCCTATACTGGCAATCTAAGTGTGACCTTGAAATTGACCTTTGACCTACTTTTTATCATGAACTGAACTCTGCTAATTTCTTTCTCTTTTAACTTCAAACTTGACAGAGATAGGTCCATAGTTACTCTTGAACTTGAATAGGAAGTCATATACTGGCAATTTACTGTGACCTTGAAATTGACCCTTGACCTACCTTACGAAGAACTTAAATTTGATTGTACCATATATATTTTTTGCAATAGTTAAAAAATTCTTGTTGATTGCATTTTTACAGCTTGTCAAGCACAAAACTGGTGGCTGTGTCCCTTATTTTGTGTATGTGGGGGTCTATACAATTGCGTTTGCTCCAGCTGGTGGTACAATATTTGGAGGCGGTATCGCCTCTCTGATCCTCTAGTTTTTTTAGCATCCAACCTTTTTTTTTCATATGTATGGGACCATTCAGATCGCGAAGAGGCAAGTGCTAGCTAGGCTGTGACCTAAATATGGCGGACTTATATGAAAGGAAGACTGCTTATTCCTGTAATGGTCTCTCTGCCTCTCACACGCCTCCCCACGCGTTGTCCCTGCAGGGACACATTAATTAAATCTCAGCTAAATTCAACCGATTGAGATTCGATGCATGGGGAGGCATGTGAGAGGCGGATAGACCATTACAGGATTAAGTGGCCTTCCTTTCATGTAAGTCCACCATATTTAGGTTGTGGCCTAGCTAGCACTAGGCTCTTCTCCATCTGAATGGGACCTGTGGTTTAAAGGTGTCATTAAAATCTTAATCTAACTCTAAATATCTTATAAAATCATGTGTAATATGTCCTATAAAAAGCCACGAGTTAATTGCTATTAATCCATAGTCATTTATTTCAGATTCCATAACTGCACACATGCTGATGCCATTGAGTGATTATACTGCTAAGAAACAAAGCAGATCAACTAGTCCAGCCTTTTAAATATCAGCATTTCATGAAGCTGATTTGTTGACCTTATTAATTACAGTTATATGGATACTGAATACTGCCCATGCAGTATAAACTAAGAGCTAGTGAAATTTTAGACACCACCAATCTTATTACCGTACCTTTTCAAATGATATTCAGACTCTTTGAATGATTTTCTTATGCCAGAATGGATTGAACAATAAAACTGTAGATAAAGAAGAACACATATCCTATTTATACCTATACATAACATTTATCCCACAAACAAAAGGATAATGGCACTTTTATTTTGCTTACACACTCACCTGTATTTTAATTGCTTGAAGCACCAGCCTAAAGGGATATGTCCACTACAACTACTCCGCATCCCCATTATGCAACATACAGGAGCAAATTATATTTTCTCCACACCTGGATATAACTACTCTTTTATGTTGCATACAGTGGACAACTTGTGTTGTAACTAGTACACATGGATCTACTATTTCTTTAATTAAATTTAATGAATGTGATAAGCAATCAAACATGAGGAAAATGAAAGATGGGATTAGTTTGGACATGATTGAGTAATGTGATCCGTCAGTATTATTCTGTTACAGTGTAAGCTTACATAAAGTGAAGCAATTAAAATTTTTTATATAAAATGTTTTTATATAGTTACAACTTACAAAAAATTGTTTACTGTCATTTTTGTTTAAAAATAAATGGCAGTGCTTTAAACGTATTAATTTCAAAGAAATTATAAATCTGTTGCTTTAGATGATTTAATAATGTAATCATAAGAATTTTTATACTATATTTTAGTTTTATGTATTAAATTTACTGAACATTTGTGGCTGTTATGATAAGTAATCCATTGTTATCAGCATAAATTTAAAGTAGTCTCCAATTAAACAGCTAGATGTTCCAAATTGTATCAATTTACAGACTAGTTTTTTATTTAAAATCCCAATTTCTGTTTTTTAATGTATAGCACAACAATCGTAATAAAAGAAAATGAAATTAGTACAACATTGATACTTTATTTGTTCTTAATACACTTGCATTAAAACTATTTCCAGCAGTCTTCATCAAGATATGGAATGTCAACAGGAATATAACCGGTATTAATATATGCATACAAAGTTTCTATATTCCACAACCTATACATTGAGCTAAAAGGTAAAAAATGTATATTAAATGGGATAGAAATATGAGCATTTGATATGCTTCTAGAATAAACTAATTTATACTAGTTTCAGCATGAAAATGTGTATGAAAACTGATTGAAAATGAAAAAAACTGGTTAGGTACAAAGTACCCTTTTGGTGTATAGACACAGAAATAATGTATAACTGTCCTTATCCTTTGTGTTCTTGACCAAAAAAGAATAATATAATATAAGTATATACAAAATATTCTTGTGAGATTCTACAAGTTCAGAGATTTGATATCTAACAAGATAAAACCTGAAAAGTCTAAAACAGTCCAATATATCTAAAACAATCCAATAAAGCAACCGAAAGCTTGATCAAACTATTTCATGGACTTGTGGCAGAAGATTCTACACATTACTGCTTTCTGTACAGGACTGTTGTTCATGAGAGCAGATCAAGCCTAGTGAACTTGCAGTGGGTAATAATAGTTGTACCCAACATAGATGAGAGACATTGCAAGAGTGATAGATGCCAAGAGTTTGAATATTTAAAAGGCATTTTCTGTATGACTGATGCCTATGTAGAGTGAGCATTTTTCTCTAAGCCTTGTGGCCTATACATACCATTCTAATCTCTTTCATTGTACAAAAGATTTGAAAAAAAAAGTGTAAAGCTTGCAGTACTCGTACAAAAATAACGTAAAAAAAGTCTGTAAACTGAAGAGATATTAGAGCTGGTTCAATATTGCTGTAACAATTGTTTGCTATGTGTAACTTTTCTCTAAATATAAATAGCAAAGAGTTGCGTTTTTCTTATAATTTCTTATTAATGCTTTCCAGTCTGAAGCATAATAGTAAAGTCTGTGTTAGTTGTACTCAGCAGCACATTTTATCTGTTTTTAGACACTACCTCTATGAGCCATATATTGCAGTACCAGAAGATCTTTACTGCACATCTACCATACATGATTTTCTATACCATCTTCCAGCAGGTATTTCCAGTTAAAAGAAGATTTTTAATACTGTTTTCTACTTCATACAAGTTATTCCCAAGTATATCATACCCAGCACACTGACTAATATATCGACACAAACCTTAATTATCACAAGCAAAGACATGTTAAATTTAAGAAATTATATACAGCAAAGGTAACAAAAATATTAAACATGATAAAATATTATGCAGCATACATTACAGATAATGGCATGCTTTATTTTACTATACTGCTCTTACAATGCAGACAAAATATTACGTAGCCATCTGACTTAATTATCTATCACATTGCGCTCATATCAACCCAAAAGCCCCACTGATACATATCTGTTACATAAAAATCTCTTAAATTACAAGACACAAAGATCACATACACAGGGTACTGTTTCAGCTCTGAAAACCAAATAAACCCTGAAAACCAAATACACTGGCCATGGAGTCTTAAGGTTGTGCAGTTTTGAACAGTTACTTAAAATAACTTGAGACTGAGATGAATTCTGCACCCTAAAGGGAGACAAATATAGCAAAACAATTATCCTGGAAGTTGTCTAACATTGAAAGTGTTGGTTAAGGTTGCACTGCACCATAACCATCAGTTGGCATCTCTTCTTTAGCAGGAGATTCCTCTGAGGGGCTTTGATCTTTCAAGATTGGGTTTCTCTCTTGTGACCTGGGCTGAACTGTTGATCTTGAGTAGGTAGATAATAACCAGTCTGAAAACAAAATTATATTATATTGGATACCATTTCAACAGTTTTTAATGTAAAAAGGTTTTTCACGAAGTAAGATTTTACTATTGTTATGATAGACTTTAATTTTGTAAAAAAAAAAAAAAAAAAGAAAAAAAATTCTTTAAAAAAATTAACTGTTATAATGGTCTAATGACTGCTGAGATCCTCATTCAGAATTACTATTAAATATGAAATTAAAAAACAAGTTATAACTGCTATTATATTCACCTGGTAGTATGGCAGCCAGTTTTGGTTTTGGCTCATTGCTAGGAGATGGAGGTGGTCCTTTTCCTGACGTGATGAAAAATACGCCAATAAAACACAGAGTGCACCTAAAAAAACACAAATAAAGTGTGACACATAATATTCATCAATCATTTTTTGGTTGCTAATAAGCATGCTTTCCCATCTCATTTTTTTTTTGTTCCAGTAGAAATTTTACCGTTCTTTTTTTTTTCAGAGAGCTTTTGATGGAGAATAGTAGGTTGAACTTCAGAAAATACACTTTTCACTTATACTAGTACAAAACTATTTATTTATTGTTTTTTGTAAAACATTTCTGTCGCCAACTTACCCAAACATGAACATAAAGATGTCCAAACCATTCATACCCCAAAACTCTCTGTAGAAAACGATACCTGAAATAATAAAACACAATAAAACTCAACAAATTAAAGCTGTTTTTATTTTCACTGAAGTTCTTCATAATTTTAAAATATTTTAGTTGAAATAAAAAAAAAAGATACAAAAAAAGTAACCTATGCCTGACAATCACCCATGTACTATTTATAACAAAAAAAGTAGAGATCCACTTTCTTGATAAAAATAACAATGTAACAGGACTTCAATTTTTAATGACACAAAAAACAAATTATATAATAACCAAAGCAAATCATTTTTGGAACAGATAGCAGTAAAATGACAACATGTATAGTGCTGAGAAAGCAGTGACATAATGGCATGATTAGTAATCTTGGAGCTGTCCCCCGACCAGAAACAGAACAAGATAATATCACGTCAATCAATATCTGGAACATCTCAAGTCTTTCCAAGATGCCAAGAGATATCTTTGATGAAATGATGAAAGCATATCCACAAAATCTATACAGAAGGAAACTAATTGAAAACTGCATGTGAATGTATTCCCCGTTGGTTTAAGAAGCCAATAAAGAAAGACAGAATTCCAGCAGAAAGAGTTTTTTTTCTTGGTCTTTACAGGAAAACTTATTACAGTCTTCTTGAAAGTGATTTGTTTTCTAAATTGTCATGGTGCTAGAACATACTGAGTGACCAGGACCAAGGTTTACATCTATCAGAATGCTGTACATTTATCTCTTTAGCTATAGGCTACAGCTGACAGTTATAAGAAATACATTTTTCAAGATCAAAAAGAAAAGAAATGAAATAAAAATCACCTGATAATATAGCACTTATGGTGAAAAAGGCAAAGTAGGTTGGTACCACAACTGTAGCTTCAAACAACTTCATGGCACTGTTCAAATATCTAGAAAAGAATAAATACAATATGGCAACTCAGTAGAGCAACATCCAGCCATATACATACATGCTTATATACATACATTTATTTTCACCACTTTATGCTTGCAAAAGATTTCTGAAGTAAAACCTTCAAATGTATATGCTTCAATCCCATTATTAATCCTAATCCTAATTATAGGCTTTAGCTGATGTCTGATCATCATTTAAACACAGACACATACACACAGGGGTTAAGTCCAAAGATTTTAGTAATTTCAGTAAAAAAAATATAAAAGGATAAAAATGAAGCACTTACTTGACCTGCAATATAGCTGTGGCCACTAATATTACCACCATCACATAGAGAACAGGTTGATCAAACTGGGAGTAGCCCATGAATGTTATATGAATTAAACCAGACACTCCCTTAGCTGAGATTACAGTAAAGGAGGCTGAAAACAATACAATACAAACAGATTATTATACCAAGGTGAACAATATTTCTTATCAAAACAAATTAGCTAGATATTGTGCAAAAAAAAATCTTTTTTGCTAAATACATTTAATACAAATACCACAAAATCATTCCTTTTTTGTTACTATCAGTCTGTCTACTCTCCAGCAACTGGGTGATGACGCCTTTTTTTTTCATAAAAAAATTCACTCTGGACACACACTTTTTACCAGAGACCAGATGGATATTAACATCATTTTACTTTTGTGAAAATTTTCACAGTACAGAAAAAAGCAGAGAAATAGCCCAAGAAATGAATGTGAATATCTAGCCATAAAACTAATTTCTCCAGGTTAGAGACACCCCGTGTCCAGTAAGTGGAGAGGATGCTTACCCAGCATGGCACAGATTAACAGGAACACCAACACACTGTCAATCTGGAGCTTGTACAGTAACACCAACAGCACAATCAATGCAAGGAACTCTATGATCTAAAACAAACAACAGGAACAAACAGTAAGATATCAGGAATAATGTGTCCCTTAGCTACATGCTTACTTAATATTGAAATTTCATCCACCAACACTAAATTCAATAAATTTAAAAACTTAAAACTTAATTTAATAAAGAGAGTTTTTAATTTGTTAGCAATGAAAATTCCTTTTTTTCAAGAAATTAAAAAAAAAAACATTTATTATCAAATCAGAAACTTCTGACAATGATGTTAAATAATGAAATCTGCTATTACTTATGCCTATCATCATCATCATCATCATCATCATCATCACATGAACATTAAAATAAACTATTTGGAACTGACATTCCAAACAAAATACTTACAATATACACCAAAAATGCAATCTGCTTTAATGCTTCGTTTATTTCTGGTCCAGTGAGCACCTTCTCATGCTGCACAAAACAACACATAAAAATGCTTTTTAGTTTTCAAGAAAATATATAAATCATCAGCTACAACACAGAAATGTGACATGACTCAGGTCCTGCAGGTATTTATGTTGAAGTAATTCAAGCCAGTATATTTTCACTGAAAAAGGCTACAAAAATCTATATTACAAATACTGCCTTCATATATTTTCACTGAATATAAAGTCATTGAAATTGATTTGTCATAATACATTAACTGCACAAAGCAGGGATAGAATTAAAAAATTAACATGATCTGAGTATACTAGTAACTGTTTTATCAAACATATATATCCAAGCAAAAAAAGTATGATGCATTTTCAGCATATTTCATCCACACCAATATATAATATGTATAAAGTTTTTAAAACGTCCAATAAAATGAAATATAAATATATAAAACAACAGCTGAGTGATAAATCATTCTGTCCGTATTAATGGAAGCCTTATGGCTTAATGGTTTTTACTCACTTTAGGAGAAAAGTTGACCAGCAGGAAAGCACCAACAATTGAGAGAGCACAACCTGAAGCATTGAAATATCAGTGCAAGTCAAGCCAATACAATGACTTGAGCAGCAAAAAGTAAAATTATTGCAACTGCAAATTACAGATGCTGAAGTAATACTATATTGGTGCTGAAAACCAACCACATTTAAATGAATTTTATCAAAATATATAGAATAAGCATGCCCAAATATGTTAAAAAACCAAATACAAGCAAATCCAACCATGAAATTAACATAGGTGAAAGACTTTAAAACAAATGATACTATAATTCCTCATCTCTCAAATAAAATAAAAAATCAGAAAGAATATTCGATGCATATATGTCCGTGCACACTTTTTTATCAAACAGGAGAGAATATCCAGTTTTTATTACAATGAATCACTTACCAAATAAATCTTGTGGTCTCAACTTTTCTTTCAGAAACACCACTGCTATGAACATATTAGCTGAAAACAGGCAGATACATTTTTCCACATTATATTTAGTTGTAATCCTTTTGTTAATACATGCAAATTGTAACTGTGTATTTATAAGGAGTAGTAATCAACATATTAAGAATCACTTAACATCTTCAAAAGCTTTTAATGACTGGGTTGAAATATACAAAGCCATACACTTTCTTCATAAGGTGTTGGCTATGGCAGTGAAAAAAGTATTTCATATCAACAGCCCTGGATAAAATAAAATGAAAAAAGCACAGACCACAAGTATGAAATATCAAGACATCTTCAAAAACAACCTTGGGGACATCAACCACGAAATTCAGGCACCATTAATTCTGAATGTCATCCAAGGACATCAAAGCTTGTTGTGATAACAGCGTACCTATGACTGTTGTCGTCCCTAGAGGTGCCACGAGGGATGCTGGAGCATATCCATAGGCAGAGAAATTCCCAATTTCTCCAAAAACCATCAATATGATCCCAATCCACCATAATGGATCTTTGGTGTAATGAAAACTTTCATTCTCTTGACTGATTCTTTCCTCATTTTTCATATGAGTGTATTTCTACAAAGAGACAAAAAGATAATGATGTCTGAATGACAAGATGATCACTTGCAATTTACAACCCCAGAAGGAATCAGGAAATCATTAATTTTGAGAATCAAGGCATGTGGGTAATGCAAAAGTTTAGTGAAGTGGTCTTAAATCCTTCATATATTTGTACAGTCAACCCTTGCTTTCAGATCCTGCTTATGCAGTGTAACATAAATGAAAAAAAAAAGATCTACAAATTGTAAAAATTCTACGTAACTTTGCAAAACCCTATCTTTTTTTCCGGAAAATTACAAGAAATTATGAGTAAAACTTTAAGTAAAACAAAACATTCTATCAAGTATATGATCTTACCTGAACATTGAGAGAGACACTGATCAATAAGTTTCCACCTATGCAGAGAAGACATCCTATCAAAACATTCTGGAACAACAAAGAAAGAATTTACCAATAAGTGTGACCATGGTGAAGCTCTTTTAACTTTTCTTAAATCCCTCTAATAAATGTCTTTCTTTTCTTTCAAAAATTTTGTTAAAAACTTTTGTTACCTTTACTGGGGTAGCGCTAGCAATTTTTTTTCACTTAGCCAAATCACCACATTTTTGCCAATTATTTATCCACATGGTTATAACTTGACTAAAACAAGTCAAATCAAGCCCTTTTTGTTTAGCCAATTTAAGTAAGTTTTAGAATTTGGCTAAATCGGCGAGTGTTAGCACCACCCCAGCTTTATTTTATGTAAAAATTATGGTACCTATATTTTATGTAAAAGTTATTTGATGATAACTCATTCATCTTGGATCAAACAAGTACATACCACTTAAACCTTCACCAGTCTTCACATAATTTTCCAATATATGTCCTATGTTTTTTTTTCAAAGTAACCTAAACTATAGTATGTTGAGTAGACATTGATATTACTATGAATATTGTGGCAGGATAACATAGGACTAAGGTTGTGTAAATGTCAGTGAATTATAAATATATATCTCATCTGCGTAGACTGATGGATAAATAATAGCATTTTGATAGCATGGGACACACTGGATATCCAGATAAAGATTTTTTAGCATAAGCCTCTATAACAACAGAGTATGCAATTTCATTTCCTTGAAATTCAACTGGTTTTTTAAAAATTATATGAAGATTAAAATGGGGAAAATGGCATTTAGCAGTTCGCCCTTTTTCAGCTTTTTGGATCAATAGATCATTAAAAACTAAATTTAAAAGGTTTCAGCTTATCAAAACACTCACTTGATTAACATTAAAGTTCACACAACTGAGCTCTTTTCATTCCAACATCAACAACTTACACATTTTACAGTGCTCAACATTTTATGGGAAGTGCTATAGGTAATAAAGAATATTATAAGATGACAATGTCAAATACATTAGTGTTACTTACATTAATCTATATACAGGGCATTTTATGAGAAAAAAATTTTTAGGTTAGGTATTCTGCACTTATCAACTATATTACTTTGTAAAACTCAGAATCCTGTTCTTTTTTTTAAATTCTGTTGTAATGGACATGTTAAAAATATAGAGCCCATAAAAGTTTTTCTGAAAGAAAACTTGGTTTTTATGTGCTGCTAGTAATAAATCCTGCTACTAGTACTGTAAATTGCCTTATGTTCAGTGTTCCAGCAGTAATACTTCCAAAGGTTGTTCTCTCAAAAATTAAACAATAACAAATTTGCAACCAAAATACATTGCTCATTGTGCACTGGTTTCAAGGTTCAAATCAAAGTATCTGTGTTGTAGACAAGAACATCAATTCTTATTATAAATGGAAACAAGACACCTGATGAGCCTAAGGCATGGGCCCCACAGCATTTCCCTCTGTCCATGTGACATGTTTACTTGTAATGTCTTATCACGTGTATGCAGAGCCAGACTGCACTAGGAATAGAATATTTTGTTTGTACACTTAACAGGTGTTGTCTTTCAGTAACACTTTGCAACAATGAAATTTTGTAAAAAAAAAAAAAAAAGGTATACATATTCTTCGATTGTATTCATCTCGACAATTCATAAAATACAGTTGTCCAACCATAGGAAACCCTAAACTTCAAAAAAGTAGAACATGAAGACAAATAATCTGGAGCGAATCTCACTATACATGTGACAAAGTCATGTGACATCCTCTGACCACATCTATCTGTTGAAGACGACCACCAAAATCATGTGACACTCAGTAGTACACATCGCCTAACTGACCACAACATGTGACACATGGGACTGTATGACAGTTACAGTTTCGGTCCCAATCAATACATGAATGTGTAATGAATTATAATATTCATTTTTGGTGGTTAGATATATGGAGTATTTACTTTTCTTTAAAATTTCCCACACGATTTGACCGGTCACTTCACCCTTTATAATGAACAAAGTGTGGTGTTTTTTTTTGGGTAAAATGCCTCAGAAAAATATATGCATCAATACAGTTACAAATATTTGTAAATATATGTTAGACACACGGGTAAGATTGGCCTGTCAATCCACACTGCCCATTGCACTGATCCCAAAATCAAATTCTGACTTACAAGTGCATTTTATAGAAGAAGTAGTATATTACAATAAAAAAATGCTATGGCAACCAAACATTATGAATTATTCCTTATTCATTCTGGCAATTTCTGGGTGATCTGTCAGTGTCATCTCATAAATAATTCATTCAGCAAGTCTTGCTAGTTTCAGTAGCCCAGTTATTGATCAGTGAAAGCTACTCTAATAAATTATACTAAACCTGGTATGTTAACGGTGGTTCTGTCGGTCCCTCTGTTGGGAAGACTGTAGAATTGGGGTCTGACATCTTGTGAGCAACCTCACCGGGACGACGGGTTACTTCAACGACTTCTGTCCATCCACCTCTGCACGTAGATATATGATATACATCAGACTAAAATGTAGGTCATATAAATGAGAAAACCATATGCTATCCACCGATACTAACAAAAACCGGTTGCTTAAAATCAATCTATTTATTCTTGATAAGTTGATTAGAAGTAAAGAAAAACAATTATTTGAAAAAATTAACCGTGAGTTTTGTGTACCTGAAAACAAATGTATACATTACTTTGATAGCTGGATATTAATCCATTAAACAGTGTAAATTAGTCGATCCCCACATACGTTATATTGTATCGACCTTACTTATTGCCCATTCTTCGAATGCAACCCACAAAACGCAGCGACGGAGTCATTCCTTCAGTGAAATACTTATTGATTGCATGCACTGTGCTTGTAGTACTGGTGGCCGTGATTTGGTGTTGTATGGGAGGGAATTCTCCTTCTGCAATGGCTACCCCAGCAGTTGTTGTTCAGTCTTCGATAAAGCAAACTGCTACGGTAAGTTCGTGAGTTATTTTTCTCCTGAAGCTTGTTGTCTCGGTACTATACAGTATCCAGTGAAGTGAACGTGATGAAACATAACAACATCGCAGTGAAGTGCAATTCTGAGTATGAGCAATGTGGCTGTTTGAATTTTTTTCATGAAAAAAAAATAATAATTTAGATTTAATTGAGAACTGTTTTTAGTTTTTGCCTCGGGCGTTTTAAGTAGTGTCAGCTCATGTGTCCTGCCAAAAAATTAATGTAAATTTGTGCCAGTACTAGAAGGTTTTAGCACGAAACCCATAGTGAGATGATGAGCACTCCATTTAAGAATTTTGATAGGTATACGCTGTGCTAACGCATTAAAACAAAAGCCGCAGAAGGTGTAAAATAAAGACAAGTTTCCGGACCAGCTGTGGGAGGACCTGCAGGTTTTTTGTAGTACGTGTGTTCTCCATGTNAATAAATTAAAGTTAAAATCAAAGTAGATGTGAAAGGTATGTGCTATGTTAATCAGCTTTGCATTACGTGTACATAGATTGTAATGTTATATGCAGATAATTGAAAAATAACAAAAAATATAGGTCAGCATGCTTAAAGTATTGTTAAAATATCAAATTTCAGTAAAATGTGCAGTCTCAATTATTGTAACTATTGTATGAAATACCTAGAAATTTCCACTTTAAACTATTGTGCATGTAAGATATAGTGATTTCAGTGTTTATGTTTGTTTATGTGCAGTGATATCTTCAAAACTAAGTTCAAGAGAGACTTGTACATAATACCTAGATATTTTCACTTCAAACTCTTGTACATGTACATGTGTGGCACTGTGATTTCAGTGTTGTTACCTCCGCCAAGGTGGTTATGTTTTCACCCCTGTTTGTTTGTCATCAACATAGCTCCAAAAGTTATGGAGCGATTTTGATGAAATTTTCAGGAACTGTCAGAAGTGGGCCGAGGAAGAGATGATTAGTTTTTGGTAGTGATCTGGATCAATAATCAATCAATAATCATTAATAATAAAAAACACTGCCTTGGCGGAGGTCTGCGCTCTAGTTTAAGTTAGGTAAAGGTTTGTTTTGATCATGCTTAGAATTATTTCAAAAATGTTAAATAATACAATATTATCCTTGAGTGTAGGTAATTTAATGGAGTGTTGTGGTTTGAGAAAAAAAAGCTTTTTTTTTCCTGTAAAGGAAGCGAGAAGTAAGTGAACAGATCAGTATCAGAGATTCAGTATCAGTATGTAAGAAAGGAAGTTACAATTAAACTGTAAATGGCAAAGAAAGATTTTAGCTTTCTAAATGGAAGCAGAAATAGCAAAGTCAAGAAGAGAGGATATTTTAATAATCTTAAAAGGCCACTAGAAGTAAAACGACCAAAGGCATAGAAACAATGCCCTGGACTTATAAGTTTTTATAAGAAATTAAAACATACTTCAAAAGGGCCAATTAAAGACGGAGATTAAGTACAGTGTCCAACGAATGACGCTATAGCGCCAATTTGAGGGGGAAAATGCCGTTTTCGGAATTGGGATTTTCTCTATAACCAAGACAGCTATTCAAGTGATTCAAATGACCTCATAAAGCTGGTTGAAAGCACTTCAATTAATCAGGTACCAGGGAATTGTCTTAAACTATTTACTTTTGATTTCATTGTCTTTTACGTTAAATTACCACATATTTCAATGGGTTATTTACTTCAAAAGACGATATCTTTCAAACAAACAATTTCCACCAACACCCCTGGTATCACACATTAGTCCACATTTTCAACAACAATTAGTGCAATTTTCATAACGATCGGTTGCTCAGATAGGGAGATGTACCTGAAACCGATTCACTTATCTCGTCAATCTGGAAAGCTGTTAAAACAGCCAAAAACATTCACAGGTTGGTTAACAGAGCTTATTAGTCAAATGCTTAGCTGAGAAATTTACCTGTTATCGGTTATACGAACAGATGGAACTATTGCTCATTGTCATCTAAAAATATATGAATAGGTCTGATTTTCTTTCTTTCCCTTGGAAATTCATTTTTAACACAAACTTTTCTCTTCCCCATAGCATACTTGACGTCTTCACTGCTTAGCTGATGTAAGACTTATGACCTATTACCGCACACGTAATTTGCTTATAACTCATTAACTATGCATTAACAACAGAGGCACAGCTTAGTCGTCAGCCTGACTGGGGCGTGTGTCGATTGAAAAACTCATCAAAAGACACATTTTGCGGTGCAAATTTTTAAAAAATGATTACATCCAATGTTAGATACATTTTTGATTAATATAAACACACAAAAAAACTCAAAAACATGATTTTAAGCATAGTTAACCCTACTAGTGGCCTTAAGATATTATCTATAGAATTCTTTGTCTATAGAATTGAGTATTAAAAGTGTGGGTTTTTAATTCAGCTTTTAACTAGTTGTTTTTTTTTCCATCCCGATTTTTTAAAAACTGTCCTATCAACGCCCCCTACCTGTGTGTAACACTGGAGATAGTTGCAGCTCTTGATGAGCCTCTTGTACACCTGGTCATCAAGGATGGTCTTGGGGACGGGACGGGAGAAATAGTCTGATGCCACCAAGGCTGCCTCCATGTAACAGTGCATGGCACCAGAATACTGGGCATGTGCTGGGAATGATTAAAATACTTCACTTAATATATATAGTTTAATTGGAAACAAACTGCTACAGAAATGATTTTGTCATTATGAAGAAAAAAGTTAATGGGGTGTTCCGGAAATGTTTTTTACTCTTAATTGAGTATACAAATGTAATATTAGATAAATAGTATTTACTAATTAAGCATAATTTCATAACCTTTCTAATTAATTTAACTACAAAATAAGATGGCATAATTTTTGTTGTCATAAGTTGCAGTTTTGGATGAAAGAGATAAAATTCTGATTATACAGACACAATTAATTGAAAAAGACAAGCATCGACAAAACTCTCACCGAAATGTAAATCTGCCTGTGTCTTGAGCCAAGAGGGTTGTGTTGGATTCACACAGAGAGCATGCTGCATCAGTGTTGTCACTGCATCTGACACTGCCGGGAGGTTCAACTGACTTGAGCTACCAGAAAAATGTACACAGTTTTGACCAAAATTAATAAAAAAATTATTGTGCACAAATTTGAGGTTTATTGTCATGTCATTTTTGTTTATGTTTTTTTTAGGATCATTATCTGTGGGCTTGAAGTCAGTGACAAATCTGCCAATTCTTACTCGTCCAATGACAAAAAATCTACAAGACAATATTTTTAGAACTAAGGCCAATGTTGCAGATTAGCATTGCACCCAAAGCTCTAAAACATAACCTTCTACCAGGGTTACAGATTGTTTTTTCACTCAATATTCAAAGATACGTCTATGGCTAAATCATGACATGATTCTCTGCTCAAATATGCACATTAATAATCTGCAGCCACGACAGAGGGAGAGTACTCAAACACTATAGACAAGGTGATTAGTATACCCCCAAGCACAAACCCTCGATTGCAATACCTCCTGTCATGTGTCACTCACCTTCCCAAAGCCGTGGGCCACATGGTGACATAGTCACTGGAGATCTCACTGGTTAGGTCATTCTGGAATTATATGATTTTGTTAAAACAATACTGTCTGAGATTGAAACATCTTTCATAATTCCATTCAATATCTACTGACCTTGCTAAGAGAGAATCTTTTAAATAAATAAATAAATAAATAAATAAATAAATAAATAAATAAATAAGGAAAATTATGAAAATTATTCCTTCAATAAAAAAAATAATAACTACAAATAATAATTAATGAATAACTATATGAGTCACATATATTAAATTAATAAATAAATTATTAAACAAATTAATCTCAATAAAACAACTAGAAATCAAAGCTTTTGTTTTTCAACATTGAAACATTGTTTCTGCCCCATCTAACACTAATTATCAGTTTTCAAACAATTAGTAAGTAGAACAAGTCCTTACCTTGAGTAGATTATATAACTTTGTCACACAAGACACCAGAGCAGAGAGCACTACAGGATCCTGAAATTATTGATTGTATAAACTTATCTTCTTATTTTTTTTACTGCTGATGAGTTACGACTTAGATAATTATTGTTCTATTTCTATGTCATATACTCATATTCATATAATGTTAAATATTGCTATTGTGAGACCTCGTAACATAATTTGTTGTACAAATATAAATATTTATTTGTACGCAAATTCACATGTATGCCTCTTTCACTGGTATCAGGTCAAATTCTGCACAGTGTTTTGAAGGATGCCTCATCTGATTGAATATAGCACTTTAGCTTAGTTTAACTAATGGGAATCACAGAACTGATAATCTGTAGGAAAACTTTATGATTTTTTTTTCCAAGAGTGTAACATAATTCTGTTTTTAGACAAGATTATCACTGTACTCATTACAATCCCACATCCTGCCTTTTTCTCCAAAATGACCTGGTTATTCCAAGATAAGACACCTTCTAATATAACAAGGACATAACAATGCATGTAAAAAAACTGATCCAGGTGGATTAATTAATGTCCACCCAATACCTTAATTCTCTGTATGAACTGAACAAAATGTGCCCTAGATATAAGGCCTAAGTTGGATTCTCTTTTCATCGAACTGGGAGCACCACTGCTGCTACGTTTCTGCTGCTCAGTGGTTGTGAATATCTGCAAAACTGGAACAAAAAAAAAAATTGGTTAACTTAAATTTGTATGATAAACCTTCCCTAACATTTGTCTTCGAGAACTGATGTTTCAACCAAATTTGTTAAGAGAAGTTTCCACATAAATATGAAATTGTGTTTTCATCTCATAAATGACATTCAACAGGTTTGTTTCCACCTACTGAATTGTCACAATTGACTTTGCTAAGTCATACCTAGATATTTACCATTGGTATACCATATTAACCTGGATATTTCCCTTTAAAAAAAAAAGAAAAAAAAAGAGAAGTTAAAATACAAGGATTCCCCATAGTTGTGTCTGATACAGTACAAAGATACTGCAGCACTTCAATGTTCAGCAANCCTTGGCGGAGGTCTGCGCTCTAGTTTAAGTTATGTAAAGGATTGTTTTGATCATGCTTAGAATTATTTCAAAAATGTTAAATAATACAATATTATCCTTGAGTGTAGGTAATTTAATGGAGCGTAGTGGTTTGAGAAAAAAAAGCCTTTTTTTTCCTGTAAAGGAAGCGAGAAGTAAGAGAACAGATCATTATCAGAGTTTCACTTACAGTATGTAAGAGAGGAATTAAGTTACAATTAAACTGTAAATGGAAAAGCAAGATTTTAGCTTTCAAAATGGAAGCAGAAAAACCACAGTCAAGAAGAGAGGATATTAAGATATTATCTATAGAATTCTTTGTCTATAGAATTGAGTATTAAAAGTGTGGGTTTTTAATTCAGCTTTTAATTAGTTTTTTTTTTTTTTCATCCTGAATTTTAAAAACTGTCCTATCAATGCCCCCTACCTGTGTGTAACACTGGAGATAGTTGCAGCTCTTGATGAGCCTCTTGTACACTTGGTCATCAAGGATGGTCTTGGGGACGGGACGTGAGAAATAGTCTGACGCCACCAAGGCTGCCTCCATGTAACAGTGCATAGCACCAGAATACTGGGCATGTGCTGGGAATGATTAAAATACTTCACTATATATATATAGTTTGATTGGAAACAAACTGCTACAGAAATGATTTTGTCATTATGAAGAAAAAAGTTAATGGGGTGTTTCGAAAATATTTTATACTCTTAACTGAGTATACAAATAGTAGAATTTAATTTTAGTAATTTAGCATATTTTTATTACCTTTCTTATTAATATTACTACAATATTTATTCAGATGGCTTAATTTTTGTTGTCATAAGTTGCAGTTTTGGATGAAAGAGCTAAAATTCTGATTATACAGACACAATTGTCAAAAATTAATTAAAAAAGACAAGCATCGACAAAACTCTCACCAAAATGTAAATCTGCCTGTGTCTTTAGCCAAGAGGGTTGTGTTGGATTCACACAGAGAGTATGCTGCATTAGTGTTATCACTGCATCTGACACTGCCGGGAGGTTCAACTGACTTGAGCTACAAGATAAATGCAATGGGTCCAAAGCTCTATAATGCCACCCTCTACCAGGGTCACAGATTATTTTTTCACTAAATATTATAAAGATATATCTCTGCCTAATTCATGACATGATTCTCTGCTCAAAATAGCACATTATTAATCTGTAGCCATGACAGAGGGAGGGCACTAAAACACTATGTCCAAGGGTAGAGATTAGAATACTCCTCTTACACAAACCCTCGATTGCAATACCTCCTGTCACGTGTCACTCACCTTCCCAAAGCCGTGGGCCACATGGTGACATAATCACTGGAGATCTCACTGGTTAGGTCATTCTGGAATTATATGATTTTGTTAAAACAATACTGTCTGAGATTAAAACATCTTTCATAATTCCATTCAATATCTACTTAACTTGCTTACAGATAATCTTTTAAATAAATAAATAAATAAATAAATAAATAAATAAATAAATAAATAAATAAGGAAAATTATGAAAATTATTCCTTCAATAATAAAAATAATAACTACAAATAATAATTAATGAATAACTATATGAGTCACATATATTAAATTAATAAATAAATAAATTATTAAACAAATTAATCTCAATAAAACAACTAGAAATCAAAGCTTTTGTTTTTCAACATTGTAACATTGTTTCTGCCCCATCTAACACTAATTATCAGTTTTCAAACAATTAGTAAGTAGAACAAGTCCTTACCTTGAGTAGATTATATAACTTTGTCACGCAAGACACCAGAGCAGAGAGCACTACAGGATCCTGAAATTATTGATTGTATAAACTTATCTTCTTATTTTTTTTACTGCTGATGAGTTACGACTTAAATAATTATTGTTCTATTTCTATGTCATATACTCATATTCATACAATGTTAAATATTGCTATTGTGAGACCTCATAACATTATTTGTTGTACAAATATATTTATTTGTACGCTAATTCATATGTATGCCTCTTTCACTGGTATCAGGTCAAATTCTGCACAGTGTTTTGAAGGATGCCTCATCTGATTGAATATAGCACTTTAGCTTAGTTTAACTAATGGGAATCACAGAACTGATAATCTGTAGGAAAACTTTATGATTTTTTTTTCCAAGAGTGTAACATAATTCTGTTTTTAGTCAAGATTATCACTTTACTCATTACAATCCCACATCCTGCCTTTTTCTCCAAAATGTCCTGGTTATTCCAAGATAAGACACCTTCTAATATAACAAGGACATAACAATGCATGTAAAAAAACTGATCCAGGTGGATTAATTAATGTCCACCCAATACCTTAATTCTCTGTATGAACTGAACAAAATGTGCCCTAGATATAAGGCCTAAGTTGGATTCTCTTTTCATCGAACTGGGAGCACCACTGCTGCTACGTTTCTGCTGCTCAGTGGTTGTGAATATCTGCAAAACTGGAACAAAAAAAAAATTGGTTAACTTAAATTTGTATGATAAACCTTCCCTAACATTTCTCTTCGAGAACTGATGTTTCAACCAAATTTGTTAAGAGAAGTTTCCACATAAATATGAAATTGTGTTTTCATCTCATAAATGACATTCAACAGGTTTGTTTCCACCTACTGAATTGTCACAATTGACTTTGCTAAGTCATACCTAGATATTTACCATTGGTATACCATATTAACCTGGATATTTCCCTTTAAAAAAAAAGAAAAAAAAGAGAAGTTAAAAAACAAGGATTCCCCATAGTTGTGTCTGATACAGTACAAAGATACTGCAGCACTTCAATGTTCAGCAATGTCAAATTGATCTATTTTCTACTCACCTGCCTCCCAGACCTCCCTGGCAGCTTTCCTGCTCTCCTTCATATTGGGCAGTTCTTTACACAGCAGGGACAGCAGACGACCAAACTAAAAAATTTGACAGGAAAACATTTTAATTTATTTAATTACCTTAAATCAAGATAAGAATATTGCAAAAAGTGATTTTATTTTTAATTATCAGAATGTCAATTACCTTGGCTTTCATCAATACATATACACACAAAAAAGCACCTTTCTGATAAATCTAAAAAAAGTTTTCAAAAGCCTATTTCTGTGGAAACTCAAATCTTTTGTCAAAATAACTGGAAGGTTTCACAAAGATTTAGAAGAGAAAAGTATTTTCCAAAAACCTCAGAAAAGGATGCACTAGGAAAGACTACACTCACCTCTATATATCCACTGTTGGTGTATTACAAAGACCACACCCACCTCTATATATCCACTGTTGGTGTATTACAAAGACCACACCCACCTCTATATATATCCACTGTTGGTGTATTACAAAGACTACACCCACCTCTATATATCCACTGTTGGTGTATTACAAAGACCACACCCACCTCTATATATATCCACTGTTGGTGTATTACAAAGACTACACCCACCTCTATATATCCACTGTTGGTGTATAACAAAGACCACACCCACCTCTATATATCCACTGTTGGTGTATTACAAAGACCACACCCACCTCTATATATCCACTGTTGGTGTTTTCCAAGTTCCCCAAATAATCCCAGTCTTTGATGTTGAGAAGGAAAGCCACACAGTGTCCCACAATATCACTGCTGGGCGACATGTCTGAAATATTTACTTATTTATTTATTTACAGACCAGGTTTCGTAAATTGACTTGCTGCTAACATATGGACACAGATAAAATTTATATTTTAGATTATTATGTTTTTGAATTAGATACTTTGGTTCTTAGTCTAGTAAATATTATGACCCAATATGTTTTTATAAAAAAGAGAATCTTACTAAAGAAATATAGTGATAAAATAATAAAATGTCTCACAAAAAATTCAAAATCTCTGCCATGATGAGAGAAAAATCTAAATAACATATACTAAATTAAATAACCAAAGTACTTAAACTTAAAGTATCCAGTACAAAAAAGTATCATCAAAGAAATACTTTCAATAAAAACCCAAAATGTCCTGCAAATTTACCAGAGTCCAGTCTTAATGAGGTGATGCAGGTCTTGGTCCTCTTCATGATGTCCTGAACCGTGGAACTCTCCAGAAAGCTGTCTGCTTGCTGGAACAGCTGGATGTCCACCTGTAGTATCTCCCAGCGAATTAATTTGGACAATTTGTAAGACAGGTCCTTCACCGAGGCATCCGACGCCAGCAGAAGATCATGTGCCGACTGAAACATCTGAATATATAAGCAGGTGTTTGTTTTACAATAAAGTTTCCTAAGTTTATGGGTTTTTAATGAACAAATTGCATTTGAAGAATAACAATATACTGCATCAACATTATGCACCTTTTCAATGATATAGTTGCCAACTTTTGATTTTGTGTCATAACTTGGGGTTGAAGTCTTAACATTACAGTGAGATATAAAAAAATTTGCCCAAACTTCAGAATCTTTTTTTCCTCACCTTCATCTGAGTACACTGTTTAGCCTTGACTAAACATATATATCCATACACCTGGTCTAGACATGACACCAAGCTGTCAAAACCACGCTGAATATCTCTGGATACCTTCCACTGGGGAAATATAGGGAACATTATATTATTGTGATATGATATACTATCACACCACCTTCAATAACTACATACCTTACTATTGTTCCTGTATTAGAATATGGTATTTTACAGTACACTGCTCTGCTTGGTCAAACACTGCATTAATGGTAGAGCATAACAGGGAGACTCTTGCCACAAGAATACAATTATTATTTAACTGAGCAAACTGCTCTATTTATATATCTATTTAAAAATAATAAAGTATGTTAATATAAGTACATTGAAGTCAAAGTTTCAGCCCGATACATAATTTGGTAACTAGGAAATATAGAGACAGGTCAAATGATCAAATTTAAAAGTGAGGAAAAATATTTACCTTATCACTAAGGACCATGAGCTGCTGTCGTGTTAGTTTTCCTTGTAGTTTTACCAAAAGTTCCTTCAACTTCTTGGGTTCATATGTTATCAACACCTGGCGCTCCAGGCTGGACGTATCTGGAATAATTTAAACAAAAATTACATCTTTATAAAAATGTAACAGATTGGACAATTTGTGTGATATTTTATCAATATTCTCTTATAATATTTGGTATTAGCAATCAAACAAAAAATAATATCAAATACAAATAGAAATGCAAATAAATTATTTGAATTACATATCTCAGTAATTGCTAATATTTTCATTTATCAATTTCTTTATGTAGATAATTATTCATTTATTTATTTATCAATATTTTCTGGGTAGAGGTAGCCATCCAACTACAGTCCTTTTCAATTCAAGAAAAAAATCTTAACATAAAAACTACAAGTAAGAATAACCATTTAGCTCTGTGTGAGGAGCTGGTCCAAGTTTCATGAAGTTTTGATCTTCATGCTGATAGGACCGCAGCTCTTCTACTTCTCTCTGGTCAAACTGATGTCTCAGATCAGACTTCAACAGACCAGATGTGAAGTTTGTAGAGGCAGGCAGGCTCTGGCACAGGTGACTGCAAATAAAAGGGGTCCCAATTTTGTACTATATCAACATATAGTGGAGATTTGGGATTTTGCTAAAGGGAGGGAGTTAGATACAAGGAGCACAACAATTTAGCCTTGCTTCACTGGGCAAATATTAATCACAATAGTACAAAAAAAAGAATTGTGCTATCATATGGAGGGCACAGGAATGGGAACATTATTTGCCTTGCTGGTTATGCTGTTTTTTGGGGGAAGGAAAAGGGATACATCTAACTATAATTACCTAATGATGGATCCCATGGCTATACAATATATAAGAGCATGGAAGGCACTGACATTTTTATTTGATGCTGTTCATTTATGTCTACTCGGTTTCCAAATATTACATTACCTCTTTCACTGCATCTAATTTTTTTTAATGCTAACAAAACTATGACACACTTTAGAGACATATTGTCTATTTAATTATAGTGAGATTATACCTAAGAAAACACTTGAGATTAGTTTTCTTGGGAAATGAACACTTCTTGATAACTTCTGAAGACATCTGAAATATATAAAACAATGACAGTTATGTGCTTAAGAAAATAAAATAAATATTTCTAAGTTAAACAGAATTTTTTACATCCATAATATCATATAATTCAACCCAAATGTCAGTTGTAGATTATCATGATTGTCTGGCATATGGAAACAAAGAGAGAAAATAACTGTGCCTTGTAAAATTGTCTTTACTTATTTAACTCGAAGCAACAGAAAACCACATGTTAAAATGTCCTCATAAAATAATAAACTTGCCTCTAAAATCAACTGCAAATTACTTTCACTTTCTCCCTCTAACATATCCAGATAGGAAGACATATATAGAAGACAACATTACCTCTAAAATCAACTGCAGATTACTTTCACTTTCTCCCTCCAACATATCCAGATAGGGAGAGAGGATGGCCTTGCCCTCCAGAACCTGTCTGATGATATTACATGTACACACTTGGAACAGAAGTGGCAAATTACTGAAATAACAATGATAATAATAGCAAAAACAACAACAAAACAATAACAACAATAACAATAAAAATACAGAGGCTTGTATTTCTACTGAGCATAAGACTAGTTTCTAAACTGTTGTGATAATTTTCTTATTCACACTGATTGATTGATTGATTAATTAATTGATTAGTGTGACTAAGTGCACTAATTATCACTCCTAGGTATCATCAATCAAAAAACAATTCTTTATGTTTCAAGTATGGACACAAATCATTATCTTAGTGATTCACTCATTAACAAAAATATGTTGGAAACCAATGGACTCACTTTAACTTTCGTATTTCTTCTTCCACTGAAACTCTGTAATGCACTGAAAGCTCTGATTTCTGATTGTCTTCTCGGAGTAGTTCAACAATGCCCTGGGTAAAAATAAAATCAACATTAAAGATTTCAATGGCTGAGAGAGAGAGAGAGAGAGAGAGAGAGAGAGAGAGAGAGAATGGAAAGTAAAGATTTTGAGATTTCTTTAGAAAGATTCTTCAATAAAAAATATATATACACACACCTTAAAGTTGTTTTTCCTACACTGTTCCACTCTTTCCTGTAGCGAAGGGGCATCAGATTTGACCTCCATGTTCAGAAGAGCATTACAGGCGCTGCAGTAGCCACTTAGTCGTGACCGGTCAAGTCTCAAGAAGTGTGGATTGACCACCTGTTAAAAACATAATGCACCAACATTTGATTTTTTCACAAAATGAACTTTCTATCCTACAGAAGTATTGACTTACATCTCTGGATGTATGGAAAGGGGAGTGATAATTACCAAATAAAGGGATCCCACATACGATACAGGGACAGATCCAGAGATATTTTCTGACAGTCTTCCAAATTATCTTTGTTTATCCATCCTACATTTTTGATCGTCTTCTGACAGAAAAAATGGATACCCGACAATGTAAACTTGAAAATCTGACCGTCTTCTGGAAGACCCAGAAGACAACCTTAATCCGCTTCTGCGATACATTTACAACAACTTACATTTTGTGACAGGAAATGTGAATCAGTGATAATGACCAATGAAAAACGAGATGACACAAGATATGACTTTACCTTTTGTAACAGTGAAGATGATTTGGTGAACATGGCATGTGCTTGTTGATAGTTCTCATGGAAGAAATGATAGCAACCCAAGTCATAACAAATCTGCAAAAGAGTTTAAAAAGACCACAGCAAATAAGTCTAATTGAAAAAATATTTTGTATGTACCAATGTCTTGTGTAAATCTGACTAAGAAACAAATATAACTGACAGTTTAAATATCATTAAAATATTATAAATAATAATTATAAAGTATAGTACAAAAACGGGTTCTTAGGGTTCATAACTGTAATGCCTTGCTGAGTTTCAGGAATGACAACTGTAACATTTTCATTATTCCTTTCCATTTTTCTATAATTCAGTGAAATAAGTTTCTTTTTTTTTCATTTTATCTTGTGTAAATATGTGTCGGGAGCGCACGTGGATCAAGAGACGCTCCCGATGACCTAATTACGTAAATAGACTTCATTAACTTAGGGCGCTGATTGGACACTCGTCCTGCAGCAGAAAATCCACCTAAGATCATCATGATAAAGAAAACTGGTATAAAAGATCGTTCTTGTTACAAATCGAGGTCAGTTGTTTAATAAAGCAGCGTTACGTTGATTTATCCTTGTGGTTGACTTGGTTTCTGGCGCACACACTTACGTGAAGTTTTAGACATACGAATCTGGGATCGATCGTGAGAGTGAAAGGTTACTTGTGTAAGTGAGCGTAAGTGAACGATAGTGAGTGAAAGCTTTCTACCATTTAGTACGTTCAGTACATATGGTAAAATGTACTAAGACTAATAGATTCCACCAGCCTTCCAGGACTCATATCAATGAGTTGGTTATGTGATCAAGGTCCTTTCAATTATGGATAAAACACAATTAGTCTCATTTAAGAGACTAAAATACATTTTACCATTATTATAATGATTATTATCATTTTTATTTCCACCACCATCAAATTACCTGGCAGATCAGTTCCTCGTTTGGTATCAGTTGTCCCTTGTCCCACTGGTGTGTGATAGTCTCAGTATTTTCATGGAGACCAGCTATACTGTCAATACTGGGCATCATCAGGGACTTGGTCAGATTACTACACTTCTCCAAGATCAGAGCTGATCCTGTCAGCTGGGACTTCACCTACAGAGGTGACATCTATTTGTCAATTTGAGCTGTAAAGTGCTGCCCTCTATTGTTTGGGTGGCATACCTGATTATATTATTTTGAATGGCAAAATAACTTATCTTTTAACGAAGTTAAAATGACTGGCATTTTTTTTCCATTTTCCTAATCAAAATATATCACCTGACACTTTCTTTAAATATAGTACCTTAAAATTTACACCTTTGTTTTTAGGATGTCATTAATGCATTATTACTTACACTTTCTAGCATGCTTTTATTAGCCCCGTTCAGTCCTAGAGTTGGATCCACTACACCTGGCCTAGATAATAACATAATTTTAAAAAATTCAATAATAAATTTATAACCAAAATTATCTATAATAGACAGTTTTCTGTTAGACACACAATTTACCTGTCAAGTTACAATCTACCTTATATATTTATCAGTAACTTCAAATTATATCTTAAATTGTTTTTTCTTTATTTGGTGACATGCATTCCAATTAATAACAATTATTAACAATCAAGAAAAAAATCAAACATGTCCTATATGAGACTATACTCACACTGGAACATTTAGAGTCTTGGTGGGTCTGCTGGGAAAGCTGTCCTTAATTGCTGTCTTAACACACCTGAAAATAAATAAATAGATTCTAACGAATGAAATAAACAAAAACACTTGTTAAACTGAACAGCAGGCTGTTGCAACATGTGTTACAAATTAATTTGAAAAATCCTAAATAATGTTCAAATTTATACTGGTTTGGTTTGAATATTTTTTTCACCTGTGACTGAACTGACGCTTTTGCTATATCTAACAAGGAAAATGCTAAAACATTAATTTATATAAAATAAAAGAATGACAATTGACTTCATATTTGAGAATAATAATTCAACAATACCCATACCATCTGTGATACAGCATAAGAGCAAAAACGGTCTCATCAGGTAACAAGGACAGGTCTCCATCTTTCAGAGTCTCAGGGTCCAGATCCTGGGGAAATGCTATCTTCACCAGCTCTGTCAGCAGGGCAGACATCATTGATAACGGGATACTGTAAATAAAATATCATAGCCATCACGACACTTAAAATATAGCTAATATTATTTTCAAAAATGCAAGTTACGTGTAGTATATTGTAATTCCATAAACTGAGAATCATGGGTGAAGATTTTAATTCAGTATGACCAAGGATCAACTGCACAGTTGTATTGTTATGTTATCACTTACATTAATAGTTGGATATTAAAATTGTTAATTTTTTTAAAAATTCAAAATGATTGAAGTTTCATGGCACAGTTATGTATCAATTAATTTTTCATAATAGCATTAATCGATACAATTGTTTTGTATTATATAAACAAGATTACTGTAATTCCTTTGCTCTCACAATTTGGTTGAGTACCATTTCCAGCAATGAAAGTGGCAGTAAGTATGGCAGTGGGTGTGATAGTGGGTGTGGCAGTGGGCGTGGCAATGAATTGAGGGACATGTATAAACTTTGCTGCCCATGATTAGCTGAGCACAAGAAGGGCCCATTAATCTTCAATGTAAAGCATCTATTTTTCTTTCTTTGATCAACAATTTAAATATTAGAAAAGCAGCCGTTCTTAGCTATGAGTAATACTACCTTTTATCTAAAACATCTAAATCCCACTTCAGAAATGCTGCAATCTTCAGAGCTAGTAGTTTCAAGGCCTTGGTTTTCTTATTTTCTCCTGATTTTGGTTCTCCTGAAATGGAATTAGTTTCAGATCAATTCTAATTTTGATTTGGACTAATATCTATGAAGACTCCTATTTTTGCTTAGCATGATACCAAATCAACAAGTGAACCATGACTTACAAGTTAATTTGTACATTAAAAGCCCCTCTAGATAACACAATACCTTGTTTTTCATCTCCTTTCCCCTCTGTCCCGTTACTCGTCTGATCTTTGCCCACGTTAGGAACAGCCTCCGCATGCTGGAGAAACTGCAGAATTAACTGAGTCTCTGATGGATCTAAAAACAAATAATATTGTCTGTAACATGTTGTGATAAAAGTTTCTTACGTGAGATCATTCTGGCATAATATTTCCTTTAATCAAATATTTTGAACTAAATAAAAATAAAAACATGAGCGTCAAGTATTGACATTTTGCAATACAACTCACTTTTACTTAGTCAATAAAGCTCCTCTATTTTTCGTGGCATTAATAACATTAATCATAAATGTGCAAGGTACATCACACTTATTAAAGTTGTTTCTGTAATTGTTACCGAATTGATAATATTGCCAACTGTGCATGACAACACAGTTAACTAGCTGATACCCGTCACATCACTGAACCATCATAATAGATTAGTATATAATTATAATTTAAAAAAAAAATTAATGGAAAAAATGGGACTGAGTGGGAATCAAATCCACTTCGCCACGTCTGGCAGTGTTACTGACAATATATGATTCCTGTCACACATGCCGAAGCTTTATGAATATTGCCGAAGGCTTGAAATTGCCTTCTTAATATACTTTTAGCAGTTATAATTAAACTCAAACTATGCCCGGCCATTATCTTCCCACTACCCTAAGGTATTGCTAACACCTGTCAGTTGTCAACAGCTAGATCATTGTAGTTTGGGAGAAAAAAAATGTGAAAAGGAGATTTCGGCAGATCTATTACTATACTACAGTTGTATATCTGTAGTACAGTACTGGTATATAGATTCAATTGATTCACCACTATCACACCAGTCATCACCTGGGTTGTCCCCCAGCAAATGTTTCTCCAAGAGGGCTTCATCCAGCAGAAATTCAAACCACGACTTTCCTGTCGATGCATGAGCTACTGCAGTGATATCTGGGGTTTCGCTTCTCTCTGTGTCTGCCATATTTCATCTCAACCGGCCTCGCGGGCACTTTCGAACTTAGTTGTGCAGGTGCTTTCCGGAAGTGACACCACTGCGCATGTCTACAAAAGCAAATCATTAAGTGCTATTTTCGCTCCATGTTCGTCGATAAATAAAACAGCTTTATTTTAGCAGCATCAATGTAAAAGTAGGAGCACAACCAATACAAAACTATGCATGTTTTTCTGCCATGATAAGAAATATACATGTAAGTAAAATTAGGTCAAGCATGCGCATATTGACCAAGCATCATGGCGACTGAGGTAGACGACATACAGGAATTTCTGTCAAATGAAGTGAGTTTTTGTGATCATAATAATCTGGATATTTGAGTGACCTGTATCATGCAGATTATTACAGTAATGACATTCTCATATATCAATTTGAACGCACAAAAACAATTGTGTGGTAAATAAGAATAGCATTTCCTGATTCGGCATTTTGGTCGCATTGAGTTTGTTGATGTTTTTATGGTGATTTTTCGTCTTAAAACAGCCTCTGCCGCTGAACTAACATATTCTTTCAACTTGTTGACCCATAGTATATCGAAATTATTTAAATCTTGTTTAAAGAAAATATCCAAATGGTAATCACAGAATATATTATTTGATTGATAATAACTGAGATGAAAATGAAAGCATTTCTTGGTTACTTTTATTTCCCAGAAATACCTCGAGTTTTGGCAAGATTTCACAGAGCTCTGACTTGATGTATATCTAACACAGTGGTTTTGGCAAACGAGTAAAGAAGTAGGTACTGGTAATCATACTCCTGTAGTTTTGCAAACGTATTAAATTAACATATTAGTTGATGCTAAATGTTAGAATCTCCTTTTGATTCCAGTACAAGACCTGTAGTGTTTGTGGAGGTTTCTATGGGACTAGTTTTGGTCAACCTGTTTGCAGCACCTGTCACTTGTTTCTGTTCCCTGATGACATCAACAACCCTGAGGATATCTCATATCTAGAGGTGAGTCACAGTTTTCATATTTCATGTTTTAAGCTGCTGAGATACACCTGTTATCTTAAACATCAGCATACAATGTAAAAACATGTTTTTTTTTTAATCAGGAATGAAACACTGGCTGCATCAAAGAGTAAGATATCGTATTTATTTTCAGTGGAGCTTTTGTTTTCTATTAACCATTTTTTTATGATTCCTTGAATGATAATTTCTTTGCTGCCTTGAGAGAAATTGTCTTTGCTTTATAAGTTATGCTAAATATCTTAAAGATTATAATCAGTAATGTTTATTGATTTATATAGATGACTTGGTTATTAGATTTACATCACTGATTCATTGTGTTTCAGTAAAAAACAATGTGATGTTAAAGGATTTCATTCTTTACACACATAGTTTTCAATGATCTTTGAAGTGAGCATGGATATCCTTCATATTTGCAGAAAACAGATTCAGGAGACTCTGGGAATGAAGAACCAGATGATGCAACAGCCTTTTTCCAAACAGATGGCAGCTGTGCTGAGGCCCCTGCGGGGGCAGAGAGGCCTTCCAGAAGGGGCATCTCTACCCCAGCCCCCACAAAGCCTGATAAACTGGCGGAAAGGATCGCCAACTTGACCATGCCCAGAGAGTTTGACAAAGAGAAGATTCCTGAGGGCTTGGTTGATGCCTTACCAACAGAGGGTTAGAACATTTAACACCACCAATAATAATAATATGCCTTATATTAGTACCATGTTGCATAGCCTGAGAATATGGTCAGAGAGGAATTATAGCAGTTTGTAATATCAGCCAAGAATTTGACATCATTGGAGTATACTACTCTTCAGTACAGCAGTTATAATCAGAAAAAAAAATCTAGTGAAATAAATAAATCGTATTTCAGTGCTCCTAGTTGTATTTAACTACCTGGATGACATCTCTCGCTGGAGTGCGGGCAATGTGTGCAATAGATGGCAGCAGATTATGGAGGATGAGACCACAGACGAGGAGTGGCAGCACTTTATACGCCTGCGATGGCCGCTGTTTGACCCCAAATACAAAGTCAGGTGCTGGAGGACCATTTATACGAAACTGTACGTATGTTTATACTAGTATGTGTTATTTATTTATTTATTCATTTATTTTATTTTTTTCAAACTTGGCAACTTGCGTCAAAAACTGTCACTTATATGGTCATGTCTGTGTCGTCAAAATGTGTTAAGGAAATTTTGACAAGAAATGACACTTGATGGCACTAGTTTAACAGGTTATATTTTCTGAAATGTAATCAAAATCTGAGAAGCATGAGACTAAGATTCAGTATGCTTGGCTGAGTAGAGCCTCTTTCTTAGGTTATGAAAACAAAGTTTTGGGTCAGCAGTTCTTTTGTTGTTAACCTGTGATATTTATAATGTTAGGATAATTGTGGTCAAGATTATATTTAAACAAATGATTTTTCTCTGAGTAATCTATTAATAAGGTCAGTCTTGCAGACTTGTTCTGTCAATTGTACAACTATTTTTGTACTGTTAATGAGGCCAGTCGTGCTGTACAGCAAGTGTTTGTTATTTCAGAGTAGAAAGTGCACCTTGCAGGCTATGCCTAAACAGAATGATGTTACAAGTAAGTATCCCCAGGTAACTGGTCCACAGATTTGGATTAATTAATGGTGATCACTTTCACTTTCAGTATCAATATAACACTAAGCAGGTAGAGGTAGATTTGTGAGGCTTCTGTCATATGTTTTGAAACTGCTGGAAATGCTTCAATAATGTCTTCTTTCTTCTCATTTACCTTAATACTTTTATTTATTTATTTATTTATTTATTTATTTATTTATTTATTTGCAAGAATATCTCAGTGAATAAATTTTCACATTTGCTTGCAAATATATATTAAGTGTTGAAGATATCATATAACAGTTTATGTCAGCCATTCCCCCAGATTAGATTTTAACTTATGTTGTGAAACGATGCTACTTTGCAATGCATTATCATGGAAAACTGCAAATTACTGTCTCAATGTTAGATTTTCAGCCAGCAGTTCTGTAGCCTAATAATATGAAATCCCATCTGAATATATTTAACAATTTCCAGAGTACACCTCCAATAGAAGAAAACTCATGGCGACATCGGAGGTTACGGAGTGAGCTAAAAACTTTACAGACAGACCCCCCTGAAGGTATCCAGGCAACCCCGCTGGACAAATACTGCTGTCACTGGCAGGCGTCTATCACGGGTCCTGCAGGGAGTCCGTATGAAGGTGGAATATTTTACCTGTACCTGCAGATTCCACACAGGTGAGACACACACACCCTGGATATCAGATTAGAAATATTAGAATTAATAAAGAAATAGCTTAATGAGCCAAGCAGTTTGAATAATTGCCTCTTATTTTGTGTCATTTTATTTGTCTATAATTANACTGGACCAGAGTAGAGAGTATAGGAATACTCTCCTTCCAGAAGCTCCCACAAATGTGGCAATGACTGGCTGTCCTGACTGCTATGTTGGAATAGTGGAATTCTTGACCAACCTAAAGATACTCTGCTATTTCCTAAAAACAAATATCATTTTCCAGTATAGTTGATATAAATAAATCCAAAGTAGTTAATTGATAATATTACTCACAAGATGATTGAAGAATTTTTTGTGTTGATTGCTGTTATTTTTGATTTCAAACAATTTGTTCTGTTGCAAACGTGTAGTAAATTGATAACAGGTTAAATAATTAAAGGGTTTTCAAAAATCAACATTGTTATCAATCACTTTTCATAATGTATAAAAAGTCTTACCATTACTTGATCCTGGTGCATCATACTCCACCCTAACTACAGCATAAGGGAATCCTCCCATTTCCCTCTCCACGTCCAAATTAGTGGCATCCATATCAACAAATTCAAATTTTTCCTGGAGAAGGTCTATTGTGTACACCTTGCTGCCATATTTGTCTGCAGTGACACCACGACATGTGGGTAAAGTTCTGGACCACCTGGCACTGATTCTTATACTGCCAAAAAACACACCTGCAAGGACTTTGATTGCAGAGGGGTCAAAATCAGCCAGCCATTCAACCTAAGTTTAAGAAAAAAAATACACATCAAAGATAAAATTCACCCATGAATTTTTGCAGAGCCACACGATATTCCAGCTTTGCATATTTATCATATTATAAATGTCATAATAGTCTTACTTGACAAGGATTAAACAACAGTGGAACTCTTCTATCAAAATCCACATTTTCGAAAGAACTTCTTAAAACCATGTAAGTGAGTTACTCACCCTGTCCTGTACATCTGCAGAAAATATGAGTTTGATTCTGATATGTTTAATCCCCACAGGAGGCAGAGGGACCACAGAGGTGGTGGAGGGGCTGGGGGACCTGACCACTCTGCTGGGGGCAGACTTGACCACTGGACCAGGAGACCTGGTGAAGATACATACAACATCTGTGACCAAAAAATGGCACAAAATGCTTTTAGCCAACTACTACGTACCCATATAAAACAAAACTGTGCATAAATACAAGAGCTATTCTTAAATTAATAAAAAGAGATGTTCTTACAAATGGAAACAGTTTCCTCAAATGCAAATGTTAACTTAAACCCTTGACTAGTGTGATTACTTTTTCAGCTTAAGAATTCAAAATTGCTTCTTCAGCTCTGGTGACAGTAAATTGCTCTAATACTACTCTGTATGTTCATATAAGATGTTTTTATTTCAATACCATGCAAAACATGCCATTGATAGATTATCTTTATAAGCAACAAACAACTGAATTGTCTGAAAAGACCAACTTACTGTGGCCTCTGTCTGTTCATGTATGGCACATCTTCAGCATTGCCTCCATTCTGTAGGTGGATCCAGGCTCTCTGAATGTCTACAGTGTACAGCTTGCAGGGCTCTTTCAGAAATACCTGCACACAGACAAATATAAGAAAGCATCTTAGGAATGATTCGACTCAACTTTACAAAACATCAGTGGGATATTTCTACATACTTAAAGAATGTGATAAATTGACCAAACTTGTTTTCTGTTTATCAATGATATCATTTTTGATCTCTTTATGGCAAACTTAACATGTATTTTTTTCAAATGCTGAGGTTTGGAATGAAAGTATACATTTGATAATTCTACACATAAATTTGATACCTGCTTTACTCATTTTCCTTTCCCTACCTTTTTCATAGAATGATAGTCTGTGGCTTCCATGAACTTGTGTTTCAGTAGTAACAACAATGCCAAGCAGACGTCATGCAGTACAGAGCTCCCCCAGCCCTGCATGAAACACTGGTCCCAGATCAGCAGCACTGCCTGGGTGTCCAACACACTCACAAACCCCTGAAATCATTGTATTCACAATTAAATAAATAAAGAGAAATGTGCAATTGTCAAATGAGATATGCAACTGGATTTCTAATCCTACACACCACACAATAATCTTAACGTATAATCAGAAATATTTATGCCAAAAAAACAGACATAACTACATCCTGATTCTGCTTGTAATGAAACAACTAGAGCGATACCGCCTCCGAATATTGTACCACCAGCTGGAGTAAGCGCATTCATATGGAAACCTCCCCCCCCCCCAAAAAAAAGGGACACTATCACCAGTCTTGTGCTTGACAAGCTCTATAAAATGCAATCAACAAGAGTTCTCAAAATATGCAAAAAAATATNCCCCCAAAAAAAGGGACACTATCACCAGTCTTGTGCTTGACAAGCTCTATAAAATGCAATCAACAAGAGTTCTCAAAATATGCAAAAAAATATAACTAAAAATGGTCCAATCAAGCAGATTTTCGAATTGACCTGCATTTTCCTACCATTGATCACTCATGTGATTCTCTAGACAAAAGGCCTATTGGCTTTCCTTGAAATGTGTTGTCAGTGGTGCATATATGCTGACAATAGAGAAAACCTAGGGGCAACACCGAGCACATCTCTGCTAGTTTTGAAGATATGAGGGGCAAGAAAATATACAAAGCTCAGTTCATGGTGAAAAAGTAGGTCAAAGGTCAATTTCAATATCATTGTATATAAATTTCTATTCAAGTTCAATAGTAACCATGGGCATTTCTTTGCCAATTTTGCAGATTTAAAGGCCAGAAAAAATGCAAAAAGCAGTTCATCATAAAAAGTAGGTCAAAGGTCAATTTCAAGGTCACAGTAAAATTACCAGTATAAAACTTCCTATTCAACTTCAATAGTAACTATGGACCCATCTCTGCCAGGGTTGAAGATAAAAGGGAACGGAAATTTGCAAAGTTCAGTTAATGGTGAAAAGTAGGTCAAAGGTCAATTTTAAGGTCATAGTAAATTGCCTCTAATGACTTTCTATTCAAATGCAATAGTAACCATGGACGTATCTTTGCCAGTTTTGAAAGTATAAGCATTAAAAAAGTTGCAAAGTTCAGTTTATGGTGTAAAGTAGGTCAAAGGTCAATTTCAAGGTAACAGTAAGATTACCAGTATAAGACTTCCTATTCAACTTCAATAGTAACTATGGACCNTGCTCTCTAAATGCAATCTGCATTGGAAACAGCCAATGTACCAGATATGGTTCGTATCGTCTGTCATACACATAAAGTACATTCAGACTGCGGGCAGATTCCTTCAAGTGGAGTTCATAATTAAATGGCATCATACTGGGTGTAGTTTCATAAATCTGCCAATAGAAATGTATCACAATTATATCTATGCAAATGTAAAAGGACAGAAACCATAGAAAGGTAACAGAGATCCTTATCCTTTTTTCAATGTGTTTATAGTACTTGAATCTTACTTTAAAACTTCATGTTTTTAAAACTGTAATGTGTCTAAGGATACAGAACAGTCAAAACATATACAGATAGGGTGAACTCCATACCTCGATAACAGCATTTTCTATCAGTCCATTGATTGGGGAATGTGTGGCCCTTTTGATGCGGAGCTCACCAACACCTCTGGCAACTGCTTTGCCAAAGCGTTCTCTCACAATCTTCTCAACATTCCTGAATAATAATACTGATCATGAATCACAATCAAGCAAACTTAAAGTTTTAGAAATAACAAAACTGATGTTTTCATGCATTTTCAAAATGCCCCTTCCCCTCTCCCCACACACACACACACACACATTTTATGGAACCATTTTCATGAAATTCACTTTTCAAAATAGTACACGTTGTGCTGCTATCTCCTGCAACACTTACAAATCCTTCATTTTCTGTCTTTCGGCTCTGAAAAGCACATCTATCCACATGTAACAGCGCAGTCCACCAGGCAACTGACGGCCATGTAGTCTGCGAGACACCTCTTCAAACCTGCGGGGGTCTCTCTTCAGTGTGGCAATCAGAGCAGTGCCCATCAGGTCACTCTGTGGTCCCCAGAAGGTAGGAGGCTCCCCAGAGACTTTGTGCAGATTAGCTGAAATAAAATAAAATAAATAAAGCATCTGAAATATTCTGCACTGTTATTATTTTTGGTCCCCAGAATGTAAGAGGCTTCCTAGAGACTTTGTGCTGATTAGTTGGAATCAAATATAACTGAATAAAGTATCTGAAATATTCTATAATGTTATTACTTTTGTTCCCCAGAATGTAGGAGGCTCCCTAGATACCTTGTGCAGAATAGCTGGGATCAAATGTAAATGAATAATTGAAACCATCTGAAATGTTCTTTATTGATATCACTTTTGGAGAAATAAATTCCAGCAAACAGCCACTAAATTATTGCAGAAAGAATACTCCTTTGCATTCCAGTTATAAAAATTTCATATATATACATAAGATATAAGAACAATCTCTAATGCTGTATAAGGCAAATGTTCTTTGTAATTTGCATAAGAACAATACTTCATAAAATGGACTGATAGATTGATTTATTAAATGAAAGTACACACTCAACACATTTAAAATTCAGACAAATATAACTTCAATTCTAAACCACATTTGGTCAAGGCATACACTTACCCTTAATATTTGATGTAGATGGCTTCTCCGAATGAATTGTACTATCACTGTTTGCACTTAGAGGATGAAACAAGCTGGAGACTTTGGGTGGCATGGTATTAGCAGGTGCTTGGGCTTTCTTCTGGGTAAGGTCGTCAAACTTCTTTTGCTGGGGTTGTAGGAAAGGGTTAGATAATCTTGTCATATTAACATTTTCATCTCTATATGTTTCATTACATTCTGCAAATTTTAATTATCTATTCTAATAATTTCAGATGCTGTTCTGTGCACCTAGTTTATAACATGTTAACAGGTCTTTTACTTGAGTGTTTTTGCATTAGCCACCAAGTAATAACTTCAATAACATTTACACTCAATAATTATCATAGTTACCATCAACTGTAATTAAAAATATTTAACATGTTCAGTTCAAATGACTATTTCAGTATAATTTAATAATAAAGTCAACTAAAAATAACTTTAATAATAAAGTTAAAAAGCAAATCAAGCCATTTATGTGTGATTACAAGTAAAGATGATGCATATAATGTTTCATACTGTGAGTTCTTTCTCCTGTAGGTACATCTCCCTCTCCAGGCCTTTGCTGAACAACTGGTAAGTATGTGTGAGAAACTCAATCATCTCTGGACAGGGCTCCTCTCTGGAAGAACAAATAATAATATACAGTAGAGCACATATTGGTAAAATGGAAAATGTGTTCATAATATCCATTAAGAAAGTACTGCTACACAAGAACCACGTATGGGTTTTTACAGAAAAACAGCAAGTGCCATCTCCCTTATTAAATATTTAAGAAGCAGCAGCACACATAGCTTTCAAATTCATCCTTGGACGAAGAAATAAATTTTATTAACAATTTTTAATTGTTAATTTTTTTTTATTATATACAGTATCTAATATAAATGCCATATATTTGCATTATAAATTTATATCCAGCTTACTCTGCCTCCTCCCCAGCTCTGGGTCTATGGCATCGAGTCTCGCTGGCTGTTTTCTTCAGCTGATTTTGAAGCCAGGACTGGGCCTCTTTCTGCAGTTTATCTCTTTCATGCTTGGACATTGCAGGTGGATCCTACAAATTCAGGAAACACCCTAATCCAATTCTTAATTAACAGAATGTTGGTAATTTCTTATTGAAGCGCAATATAAAATCAATGCCGTATACTTTTAATAACTCTGTGGTGATTTTATGTATTATAATAATTCAGTTAATTAAATCAATTTGGAATACATAATTATCTACAGTTTAGTATAGTAATTATTTAAAAAAAAACAATAACAACCTTGTTCACGTCTTTACATCCTATAAATCATAAAAAATAATGATGAAAATAACAACAGAACGATATTTAGTTTTAATCTTTTCATTGGAACCTAAACCTTAGATGTTACAATGAAAAGATTAATACTAAAATCTACTCCAATTCAATTTTACCAAAACTGCAGCATCTTGTTCATAGTCTGGGAAATGCTTCTGGACAAATTCTGGTCCAAGCAGTTGAAAAATCATCTCCCTTCTATCAGCATGGTCAATTTGTCTCAGAATCTTGTCTGCAAGCCCTTTATTTAACAGCTCCTCGACCTGTCAATATTTTTAAAAAAATTATAATTTATGATGTGCTTTCACAGAAACAGTTAACTGGATAAAAGTTAAAGTTAAGGATCTCAAAACAAAAGTAAAAATTACTTCTCGTGTTTGTCAAAGACAATTATTTTGAAGTTTCCATGACCATCGTTTTTAAAATACATTTCAGTCATACACCTTTCAACATAGTCTCCAATGATGATCTATGCCAAAAGCCAGTAAAATTGGTGCTGTTGCAAAAATTTGTTCATTTATTCAGTTACTGACAACTGTTTCTGCTTTGGGCCAGTAGATTCATAGACCCTGGTTCACAGAAGGGTCAGAAATCTTTTTGGTACACACTGCAACACACATCATTTTAATACTTAAAATATTGTATATTATATCACAAAATTGACAAAAACTGTACTATTACCTTCATCCAAGGTGAGTTCGTCAACAGAGTCTCTTGATAGCTAGAATCCATCCACTGGAGACCAAATGGCTTGCCAGTGTCTCTGGCCTCAGATTTGGCATACATTTCTTATTCTCAAAGGGAATTGTGCTTTTTATCAATCCATTAATAATCTCTCCCTCCTTTGAATAAAACTATATGAGATCAATCATGAGGTCATGGTAAAAAATATCACAGGTGAAATTAAAAAAAGATCATGCTCTTATATATGTATATATAGATCACATGGCTGAGTTTTTCAGATACAACTGTTTTTGATTTGTTTTTGGATATATAGGTTGGTCAGCTCTCTATAGTGTCTTTCATGAGTCACATTTTGAACTCCAATTTTTTCTCTAAATATCAGAGGCCAGGCAATACTGCTCATTTCTTAGCTATAGCAGGCTGAAGAACAGGCTGTTTGTCTCCATAGCAATGTTTGTTCTTAGGGTCTCTGTAAGAGTTCTCATGCTGCACACTCTGAAATTTTAACAAAAAAACTTAGTTAATGAACTGAATAAAAGTTCTATTACCTTCACATGCAATGCAGGGAGTAGCATGGAAATAAATGACAGCAAAAAAATATATAATGACACTTCTGCCTATGTTTTAAAAGTACTAATTCAAATGTAAATTGATGATGAAAGTGTCATTAGATATTATTTGTCTACCATGATTATGATCAACATATAACTGGAATGTAAAATATTTACTTATTAAAATTTAGACAACTGGAATGTCTTCTCTATCTCTTTACCTGTGAGTTAGTTCTGCACTTGGTGAGGCAAAGTTCAAAATGGTCTGTGATCGAGGCATAAATTTGACTAAAGCTGGAGTCCACTGCTTCACTTAATATCTTTCGTAGTAGCTGTTGCTGGAATCAAAAATCAAAGGCATTAATATAATAAGAATTCAATACATCAGACAGATCGCATCCTTCTGTATAATTTCTTATAGTTGCGCATGCTATGAAATAAAGGATATACTTTTAAAAAAAGGCCTTCATGAATTCCCAAACTAATGACTGCATCTCCTTGTGAAAATATATGGTATCAACCATTCAAATCTATTAGAGAAACATGCATCTGTAACAAAAATTTCTCAAATTTCTGATACCATATTTTATCCATAAAAATGCCTTCTCAATAACTACTAATCCCAAAGTGTTTTATACCTTTTCAGGATGCAAGCAACAAGAGACGCAGTACTCATAAAGAGCACAGCAGCCCCCCTCAGTGCAGGTTTCACAGGTGTAGTGTTTTGTAGATCTGCTCAGTGTATCACAACAAGATCCTGGCAACAGGTCAGATCTATCACACACATATCCTGGAACCAATAACAGTTTATACAAAATGATGATAATATATTGATATTTTTTGTGTTCAAAGTAACTATAATTACCTCGTAAATCTTTGTTGGTTTATGTGCATTTATCAACTACTGAATGAAATGTGTTATTCTCAGGTGCAAATTAAAATAAATATTAATCTCAAGATTTGAAAGTTTAATTCTATTTTGTCCACAACTCCTCAAACACGTACAAAAAAATTCCTCCTAAATATAGCCCTAAAAGTTTTTAACTTAATGAAAGTCATACCTCTGTCATCAGCCACTAAAAGTTTCCCTTGAACTGAATTTCTGCAAGTTTTTATTTTGCTTGCATTTGCACTTTCAAATTTGGGCTGCCACTTGAACTGTTCAGGAGCTACACGTAGGGGTTTCCTAAGCCGATATTCTTCTTGAGTTGAAAAGTCTTTTGGATGCTGCAAATAAACCAAGAATAAGTTGAGTATGACAAGCCTTATGAACCGACCATGGCTCGAAGAGGGTGAGTAAGTAAGTAAATTGCGTTTTTAGTTTATTTAAGTATTTGAGAAATTTTTACAAGGTTGATAATACCTTTAGCGCCTTTAGCTTTAGACTAGTACACAGGCTTTCTCAATAGCGCGAAAACCGACCAAAAATAAAATATTTTATCATCGTAACTGGTTAATGGACGAGCATTTTACCTGCTTGTATATATTAGCCAGGAAATACAGAACCGACAAGCCAAATACTACAGCTAGAAACCATCTTCTTCGGAATGTTCTTGAGTTAAACATTGAGCCGACATTTCACGGACTCGCAGGGCTGTGTTGTGCTTATAAACAAAGTAAACATGACAAGGGAATTCTTTAGTTTCGGAAATATTTAATAAATTGGAGGTCTACGAAACACATTAAATTTAGTAAAATAGGTATTCTCAATAAAATATATATTATTTTTGTAACAATTTCAACAAAAGTATCTGTAAAAAGTCGTGCATATTGTACTAAGTAATACGAAACTAATTCTACGGTTGATTCTTAACTGGGGAATTTGGAAATCGTGATGTACAAGTGTAGTGATGATGTGGTTCAACTTACGATTCTTCGATGATTAATTCACTGTAAGGTAAGCATATGGTATTGATAGTATAAACATATTTAAGCAGTTGAATATTATAAGTGCCATTTAATTAGGTAAATAAAACAGACGCCTACTCTTGCCCTTGATACAAAGTCAAAACTTACTTTCGACAGTACTAGGTTTATCGATAACTGGTGTTAAAATTAATCGTAGACTGATAAAGTCCAAAGTTTTATACATGAAATGCATCGTAATCAAGGACTTAACACACCAGGAATCTGTCGAATATTTCATACAAGTGGATTTTAGCTGTAAAAGTATGTATTTTTTTAACTTGTATCTACAGAAACTGGGTAAACTTACATCATTACTTTCAGTTTCAGCCAGCAAATAAGAAGATGGCAGAAGGGAGGCAACCACCAACAAGGACATTTTCATGGAGCTTGGATAACATGCCTGTCAACATGCCCACTATAAACGCTCAGGCTAGACTGCCAGGAAATATTGGGAATGTTTTGAGGGAGCTGGTCCCTGGCCTAGAAGGGCGGCCATCATCAACTCCAAACCCATATCTGCAGGCACAAGCTCAAAGAGCAGCTGATATGTCAAATGAAGCCCCAGCTACTTCTTTTGTAATAAATATTGGACAAGACGGTCAGGTTCAAAGGGATGGTATTTTGAATGTTGAACAGTCTGTGCATTCTGCTGAACCACAGTTAATAGGTGGTGGTCAGCAGGAAGGAGGACATTCTCCTGAACCCAATAATACTGCTGCTGAAGACGGTGGTCAAGAGGGTCAGCATGGCCATACACATGATACTGACAACAGAATGGACTGGAGACAGGGAAAGAAATGGCTTGAAAGAAGTCTGATTTTCATTTTGTTGATGCTGTTGAAAGTGACATATAATCATCGCCTAGGTAAGCATTGGCACTGACAGTGCCTATGAATCCAGGGTTTTAGGTATTATTTTTCAGATGCAATATATAAACAGAGTTATATAGGTGTGGATGATGTTTTAAATGATCCATGATAACTGAAAAAAATCGGAATGAAATTGTGATCATCATTATGAATTTTAGTTTTATTCCCACTAGAAAGGAATTTTGTAGAGAATCTGTCATTTCATATCAGAAACATTATGGAAATTGTAGAATTAAGTGCTTTTTTTGTAGAATTGTTAAGTACAATAACATTGTTTAATTGCACATGCAATATATATTAAGCCCTATATATGATTATCTTATAAATCTATCATTAATATCTTTACAGGGTTGCTTGTTTTTGTTGGGTTGTTTGGGACATATTACCATGCAAATACAACTGTTAAAAAGCATATTGCACAACAAAGGGTAAGTTCTCTCTCTCTCTCTCTCTCTCCCCCCCCCCCCCCCCCCTTCTTTTAATTAATGAGTCAAAAGAACCATTCTTGGAGGTCGATTAATTTCTATTTTTTTTTCTGAAATACTGTTCACTTGCCTGACAAAAACATACACAATGGCAATACATTTGAATTTATTTCAGGATCACCATAATTCTGCCCGGTCACTGCTGTTGTTGAGTTGGATAGTGATTTTCTTATGTGGAAATATTGCTCTTGTCTACTATGTATTTGAAGATCAGAAGCTTTGGTTAGCGTAAGTACTTTCCATAAATACTTCAAAATACTAAATTGATTCTTCTTACAACTTTTCATAAATTACATTAAATTACATAAATTATCATTAAAAAGTTAGAAGTACACACATTAGTTTTTGTCCTAAAATGTTTTTATAATACAATTACTTTTTTTCTAAAAATGACATTATTTTTGAAAATTTTCAGTCTAATCTTAAACTTACCTAAAGTTGGCCGAATAGACTTCTGGACATTACTATGGGTTGTTGCCATCACAGACTACATTGTCAAATTCGCTTCTATCACTTTAAAGGCTCTTATAGCCATGCTGCCTAGAACCTTTATACCTTATAAAAGAAGGGTGAGTTATGATCTTATTTCAAAGCAAAACAGTTCATTGCCATGTTATAATCATATTATGTATATATTATACCTTTTGCTTTCTCAAATTAAAAAAAATTATTTATTTATTTGTTTATTATTATTATTATTTTTTTTTTTTCTTTTTTGTAAAATCTTAGGATATAACAGTTATTAAAGGCAGTATTTGGTATAATTTCCATGATGCATTTAAGTAATTTAAGCATGAATTTTTTTCAAGGGCAAATATTATATGTTCATAGAAGAGGTGTCCCAGTGCTATCGTTGTGTTACTCCTATTGTGCCATGGGTTTATTTCCTCAAAGACACAGAACATGGGGGAGAATGGTTCTCCATTTCCCTGCTCATTGTATATTTTATTGCAAAAGTAAGTCTTGTGATTGACACTGTATATACTGCAGTATTTACAAAAAAACGTTCGTTTTATAGTAAACTTCCATCTGCAATATAAGGTGTATTATTAGTTTTAAAATAATTCCTAATGCTGTCTTGAATTACTAATATATATCATTATGCTGTATTTTCTCAATGATGATCATTTAAGGTAAATCTTGTTGTTTTATTCAGGGCATATTGAAAAGCTAAACATTAAGCTGTATGTTTATCTTTATCATTTTTGATTGTAGGCCAACCTCGTGTGGCAGAAGTCAAAAGATTTATATAAAGCCTGGAAAAAAGTCTGCACAGATGTGGTAAGTTGTCTTCCATTGATGAACAAGTGTATGGTCTTAGGTATTCATTAGAAACCAGTATCAGTATAAGTGGATGTCTAAACAAGCTATTGCATATGTTGGCACTGTGATATGTGTGTGTTTTTGTGTGTGTTTTTTCTATCTTTTGAGAAAATGGGCCTGTTAAGATATAATTGCTGTAGCACAATGTATATTCTGTCTTTTCCTTGATAATTAATTCAATCAGCTACTAAAGTTAATTATTGCAATCCAGTTGGAAGTAGGTGCTTTAGGCTGTGTCACCAACTTCATTCCCATTTTCTGAAGGTGACTTGACAGAATTCAACATATCCTATCCAACCAAATTAACACTGCTGATGAATTTATGTACTGAACATTTTGTTTTGTTGCAGAATTATGGAATATCCCCAAGTAGAGAGGAGATGTCAGTGGCTGGAGGTGCATGTCCCATATGTCAAGATGACTACAGGGATCCAGTTATGCTGGCCTGCAAGGTAAGTGTTCTCACTCTGTGTGCTTTTAATTTGGACAGCATGTTTTTATTTTCCTGTAGTCTGCTTTTTAGTTGCATGTATACTTACTGTGGAAGAATATTTAGTGTTTAATTGTAAACTTTGTGCAACAGATGTAACTTGTTTATTTTGTACAGTATAGATTTTTTTCAAAGTATTGATCAGTACACGCATGCTTGCACACAAACAAAATGAAAAATTGAAATACAAATTGATAGTGTACCACCACAGAAAATACGATTTTTTTTTTTCATTTTCTTTTGCAGCACATTTTCTGTGAAGACTGTGTATCAATGTGGTTTGATCGTGAAAGAACTTGTCCTATGTGTCGTGCCAACATCGTAGACAACCCTCTCTGGAGGGACGGAACCACTGTTGCTTCCATAATATTTTGGTGAAGTCTCATTTTATCTCTTGATGTGAAGTGAAGAGGTATTTATGATTGCAAATATCACCAGACAGACTCCCGAGCAGTTTCTGTTAAGATGGCAACTGTCTAAAATGTGATTTTCAGCATTTAGTTCCACTTTTTTTTTACTTCATTTTTCTAAAATGTATGTATAAATTTACTCTGCCAAATATTGGATGTGCTGTGATGGAACAGAAAATAAATGAGATTTTGACATGCAGTTGGTTTAAAAGGCAGTCATTTAAAAGTCTTTCTAGTTATTTCTGTTAACTTCTTGGCCTGATAATGCATGTCTGTTGAGCTGTTTAAGAGTAATAAAAATCCACTGTAGATTAGAAAGCATGGAGATGGTGCAATAAAAGTTTCATTAAAATATCTTAGTAAGTGGTGTTTTTAAGCAACTGATATGTTTTGCATACTATCTAACAGAATATGAATACTGTGTTTGGTCCTAAAGTTTAATATGTTTATTTATTTATTTATTTATTTATTTATTTATTTATTTATTTATTTATTTCACAAAGTGGCTGATACTATATCATCACTTGAGGTAATACTTGAGAAGATGAATACAGCTGTTACTTGGTAGATATAATGTGCTTTATTTAAAAGGGAGTACAGGTTGAAATTACATTTAACAGCAGGCAACTTGGTGTATGTTGAAACATGTATTTGTTGGATGTTTGTGTAGAACCAAAAACAATGACATAGGTTATTATAATATGATTGACATATTATACATGTAGATTGAATTTAATTTTACATTCCATTAAAGTTTTTTGCATGTGTTATTGCATCCTAGACTTGAGAAAGCTTATGCCATTTAGAAAATATGTTTTTTAATCATATTAAAGAAATCTTAAAAGTATGTCCGATTTGTTAACCACTCGTCATTCATTACTTTATTGACTATTATGGAATTTTTATTTCTTTTAATCAATTACAATGTTACCAATACAATACAATTCAGACAAAGGCAAAATTGAGTTCATCTTGATCTCACATGTTGAACTAGTTAGTACCTCTGATTTTAAGCTTTCCATGTTTCATAGTGCATTGACACATATTTAGTGAATCCTAGGTTACCAGCTGACTCTTAGGGTGCATTCACAATGAATCTATCATACTAGCTAGTGTGCACTAACTCCATGGGAACTCTTGCTGAATTCAATCAGATTAACAGGCTTTGAGTAGAATACAGAAAAGTTGGTGATTATACAAGTGTGTTGAAACAAGAGGAGATGTGTTAATTCGATGACATTCAGTACTTGCTAGTATGAGAGATTCATTGTGAATGTACCCTTAGGCAATGAAGGACGAAATCTATAAGAAATAAATAAATCTATTAAGTATCAGTGTGGATATTGAATGATAAGAAGAATTATATTAATCAAAACAGAAAACATCATTTTAAGCAGATAATTAAATGAAATATTTATTAAGCTGCCAAATATGTGTGATCTAATTTGTTGGGTGATTGATGCATTGCATTAGGAGAGATGCAGAATTGAGCCAGAGAATGTGTTGGAAAATGCCATGCTATGTATAACATTCTGATATATAAAAACAATTAGTGGTCAATTCTATGCCATGCTGGTAGTGTTAACGTGATAAATACTGATCTCTAATCAAGCTGTTTATTGGCTGACTGAATGTGAAAAATGAAGGTGAATAGCACCATGATGTAATATTATATTTGGCAGATAGTTTGGCTCAAAACCTTACTACACTAGAATTTGGCATATTGCTTTAACAAGTGACTTTCTGACCTTTTTCTTGACGTTGATGTCTTATGAATTGTGACACTAGCTTTTGGTCACTTTCTGTATAATTACACTTGTTGCATAAAAAGTAATAAAAAACTGGTAGTTAGAACCACTTTTATTTATTGTAAGTCATATGCTTATTAACTGGTATCACCTCTGTTCAAATATTCTCACTGACAAAAGGGGTTGGTTCTTTTTCCCCATTGGCTCAGATAAATGTTTATACAGTAGACTGTCAGGATGATACACATGGTTTAAGTATTCAAATTTTCTGTTATGGACCAAGCCTCTGAACTCTGAAAATAATTGATGAAAAATTATCCCATTTTTCTTTTTTTCTTTTGATGAATTAGAACAGCTAGCAATACGAAGTAAGGTGGGCATAAATGTTAAAAAGTTTGAATGCAAAATTGATATTAAGTGGGAAAAACTGTTTCAAGATGGAGATTATAGTAAAGAAAAAGTCCTGTTTTGTTCATTTGTAAACAACATTGAAATACAAGATGTGAACTAGTGTGTTACATACCTGTACCAGAGTGTTAAAGTTTTCTGTGTGCTTCTGATTAGGTAGTTAACTACAGTGCCATAAAACTTCCAGATGTTTCTTTTTT